AAAACCTTATTTTTCATATTTTATTTTGCTACATCATCGTCATCTCAATATAAGAATATCAGTAAAAGTTCCACAAAGAAGGTTCATACAAAAACCTCATTTTTCGTTTTTTATTTATAAAATGCAAATTTATCTATATGAAAATATATATATATATATATATATATATATACATACATATATATATATATATATGGAAGGGTTGAAACGAGAATACCTTCATTTTACGAAAACGCAAGAACACCTTTTTACTATAGACAATCACATGTAATACTATTATACCATCACATATGATACTCATGTGATACTAAATCAGAGACGCGAACGATTTTCGATGCGATCTTGGTTGCGGGCCAAGTCAGGTTTATACCACTAAGTCCCCTCACAGGTATTATTACATGTGATAAGGGTGTTGTTGATATGATACTATAATCCATCAAGACCATCATATGTAATGCTAAATCATAGATGCAGACAATCTTTAGCACGACCTAAGTCGTAGAACACGTCGTCCACACATCACAGGGCCCCCTCACGCGTTTATCACATGTGATAAGGGTGTTATCGCGTTCTCGTAAAATGAAGGTGTTCTCGTTTGAACCTCCACCTATATATCATACAATTTTTTTAATTTTCACTTTTCTATATTAATTTTAATTTGTTAATTTATATTTTTTTTTCTAACATATTTGAAAAACAAGTAACACATAAATATAATTTTATACTATAATTAAGAATGTGCAATATTACACAAATATTCATCTTAATAAAAAGTAACACTAAATAATCTATACAATATTATAAAGCATTTGACAAAAACTCTTAAAACAAATTTTTTATACATAAAGTAATGTTTATTGATGTATATTACTTAACATTCAAGATTACAAATAGAATATGTATGAGTACATCTTATTGGAGCTCTATGTTTCAATTCGTGTAACTAAATGTATATAAACATAATCAAATACATGAAAAACATCATTTTAAATATAAAAAATATAGAATATAATTAAGATAATCATTGAGTTCTAACAAAATATTTAATTATTATCTTTAAAAAATTATTCTATTAAACCAAAAATAAATTAGTTCGTTGTTAACTTTAATTAAATAATAATAGAAAATAAATTAAAGAATTACACAAAAACGAGAACTTTAAATAGTTAATTTGATACTAATATCGTTTATTTGTTTCAAACTTTTATAATATCTTCAAATTTATATTTCATTTAAAAATAAAAATATTTTTTTTTTCTTAAAACAACATAAAATCGTATTATAACATTGATAGACCTAAAATATAAAACAAAACATTAAAATCAAGATGTATCTCATTAAATTATGCAAATACCCTTCTAGTAAATAGTAATATATAATACTCGTAATCTCAATTCAACCAAATATGTTCAATCAAATCGAAGCGAAGTCAATAATAAACTTCATTTGAACTCATCTTAGAATTTATTAAAAGATATTTTTGAAACCCATAGGTGGAACCTTGAAATTTTGTATTGAATTATCTACCTCTTAAAATAATTATATGTATATAAACAATCTGATATATCGTTTAAAAATAGAAAAAATATTTTATAATTATTAATTTAAGATTTATAAATTAATTTTAATTATATATATATATATATATATATATATTATTATAAAGCATATGACAAAAACTTCTAAAAACCACTTTTTATGCGTAAGGTACTATTTATTAATGCATATAACTTAAAACTCAAGATTACAAATAGATTGTACGTAAGTACAACTTATTAAAGCTCCAAATCTAAATTCGTGTAACTAACTACAGATAAACATAATCAAATACAGGATAAACATCTCATTTTAAATATAAAAAATCTAAAATATAATTAGGATAATCATTGAGTTTTAACAGAATACTTAATTATTGTTTTTATAAAACATTATATTATTAAACCAAAAATAAATTACTTCGTTATTAAACTTAAATTTAAATTATAATTAAAAAATAAATTAAAGAAATTACATACAAAATGAGAACTTTTAAATAGTTGTTTTGATATTAACATTGATATATTTGTTTTCAAATTTATATTTTATTCAAAAATAAAATCATTATTGYTTTHTTAAAAACACATAAAATCGTATTATAACAKCGACARAGAYAAATRATAAAATARAACATTAAAATCGATATATGTCTCGCTGCATTGCGCGAGCACGTATTTAAAAAATAATCTAAACGTAGATAATAAAAAAATAAATTTATTAAAAAATACAAATACTTGTATAAAAATTTATAAGAAATGAAAAATAGAACAAAAATTAATAAATATATTTTGTAATAATTAAAAAAGTTAGATATTTTTTAATGAATTTTAACTTATATTTTTACATATTTATGAAAACAAAATAAAATGATTAAAAACAATAAAATAAAAAATAAACGTAGACAAAGAATCTTAATTCTTGTTCAAGCACCTATGTTCTTTTAAGAACATTTGACCGAATAAAAAACTCAGCCTTATAGTAAAGTTCTTATAAAAACTTCAACAGGAACCTTCATTGCGGATGCTTTAAGCATTCAACTTCTAAGATTTTACAAATTTAAATTTTTTCACTACTTGTCTTTTACGTTCTTCATTTTATTGAAAGTTTTGAAGAATTCGTTAAAAAAAATAATAACTTAGGGGCCGTTTACCAAACACTTACCCAGTAAGTGCTTACCAGTAAAATTTAACACTATTATTTACTTATCGGATAAGATTTTAGTCCATCAAAACGACATCGCCCTCACTTACCGGGTAAGTGCTTACCATGGTAAGCGTCGTCGCCCTCAGTTATCGGGTAAGACTCTTGGTCTCTCGTTCTTACCGGATAAAATTCTTGGTCTTTATCATATTCATTCAGTGAGGTAATATTACTTAGTAAATGTTTGGCTAGTTTGGTAGCCGCTTAGGTTTCCTAAAATATCTATTCCTCATCTTTTGGAGAAATAAATGGATGATGAGAGGAAAGGAGACAATGATGAGAAAGGTGCATGACATAAAGACCAACATCAAGTACCCACCATGGAATATGATCACCATCTTACCACTAACATGTGCCACTACATCTCATCAATCACACACACATTATTACCCTATTTGTCCTCACCAATACACCCCAAATATCCTATGTTTAATATAATTTACCTTTTTTTACTTTTAGTTAACGTGTATGAGGGGCATTTACTAAACATTTACTATGGTAAGAGGAAAAACAATGATCGAAAGTCTTACCCAATTAGAATTATGATTCTTATCTGATAAGCTTTCATCGGGTTATAAATGCCTACCATCAATCCATTTTAATGGCCCGGAATGTTACCCCATAAGGTAGATGTTCTTGTCCGTAAGCACTTACCCTATAAGCGTTCGGTAAACGAGCCCTAAGTAAGGAGTTCTTTACCTAAATACTTACCCGGTAAGTGCTTAAGTCAACATTATAATTTATTTTATTGAGTAAGATTGTAGTATATCAAAACATATCATATACAACAATTTACTTGGTAAGCGCTTACTTGGGTAAGAGTCATCACCCTCACTTACCGAGTAAGACTCTCCATCCTTATCATCGCTCTTACCGGGTAAGATTCTTGGTCTTACCATGTTCATCCGGTGAGGAAAATTACCCGGTAAGTACTTACTGGGTAAGCGTTTAGTAAACGGGCCCTAATGTGAAAGGTATATTAACTTGATTAGATAAAATAGTTGAATAGAAAAATTAAAAGACTAAAGTTGCAAAGCGAGTTGAGGGGGGATTTTTGTAATGCAATCATATTTTAGTCATATTAAGTATTATTAACTAAAGAATTTAGACCATCATATTGTTTGCAAGTACAGCTTTTACAAATTAAAATGTAAAATACAAGTTACTAAAGCATTATTGGTATGCGCTTGCATGGTTCAATAAACATGTGTCTTTAATAGTTTCATTAGGAGACTATTTCTGAATTATTAAAAGGTAAATCTTGTTTGACAAAAAAAATCTGTCTTTTAATGGTTCTAAAGCCCTCTGAATGATTTTTGTATTATGGATCTCCCTTAACAATTAAGAGCCCTAATTTCATTGTACACAATTACCAAACAATTATATTTCATTTTGCACTATATCATGAGAGTCTCTTAATCATTCTAACCACTTAATCATTTTGCACCAAACCATTCAGCAATTGGCAAACCGCCCCTTAGCTTTAAAAAAAAAAGGCTAAATACCATGAAAAGATAAAAACAAAATATTTATATGTAAATCATTAAAAAAAACTCGAGAAAATATATTTAAAGATCCATACGTGAACTGACGTTACAGATTATTCATATGGGTTTACATATGCATCTTCAACTGAATTTTTCAATGATTCACATATAAGCCTTACTTCAGTATTTTCTTCTTACCTTCGCATGATATTCAATCTTCTTATTTAATCCCCCGACCGTAATATTGTATGCTTTGTACTTGACTAATGGTCCTCGACCGGTTCCTAATCAAGCATGTTTCTCCATGGTTAACAGTTGTCCTAATTTAGCCCAAAAGGTAGCACAATTGCGTCTAATAATGTGACATCAGGTATCATATTAGATTTCACTAGATATTGTTTTAAGTAAATATCCTCCTAATTGACATTTGGCTGTTGACTTCTGTAGGTGAAATGTCTTATCATTAGAATGACATCCAAAAGAAGAAAAAAACCAAGCATTACATTCCACTCGAGTGGGAAAATATTTACAAAGGCCGTTTTACCAAACGCTTACAGGGTAAGCACTTATTGGTACGAGTCGTCGCTCGTACTTACCTTATTTAGGTAAAACTCTTGGCCATCAAAATGGATTGTTGGTAAGCACCTCTTACCCGGTAAGCATTAACCGGGTAAGGGTCTTTTCCCTCATTACCAGGTAAGAATCTCGGTCTTCGCCAATTGCCATGCTCAGTTGCTCACTAGGTAAGGTAAGTAACACCCGGTAAGCATTCCGTAAACGGACCCTAAGCCAACATCTTTTTAATAAACAGTGCCGATATTAAAAAAACATACAAAACTTTCTACACAAAAACGCAGAGAGTTTCATGATAAACAGAAGAGACGATGAGTGAAGAATGGTTTTCAAATGAATGTCTTGTGATGGTTTCTAGGAGAAGCTGGAAAACTAGGAAGAAAAAACCGGTCCAAGTGAATGTAATGGACATACTGCGTCAAGTGTCAACCATGAATGAAAGATGTTATAAAACGGGCAGAAGTCTGCAAGATGGCATATACAGCTTGAAGATCTTAAGCACGTTAAAAGCTTGCAGTTCCAATGATATGAAGGGGAAAGAAGCAACAGATCTATGCTTCCTTTGACGTACCTGAAAGTTAGTTGTCTGTAGGGGAGCAAGTACTTTTAGCATCAGCCTTGAAACTCATCAACTTTTCTGCAAATCTGAAAAAGTGCCAAGAACATATGCATTATTTTCACGATGACACTGGAGAAATTTTAGAAATTAAAAAGAAAAAGAAGAGAATATATGGTTTACCGGCTGAAATTACTATGACCTCCATGCCTTTTTCGTATCTACATCAACTGTTTTAGCTTTCAGAGGTGGCAAGCCGGATAATGCCCAGGCAGGTGCGTCTCCTAGCCATAGCGCTTTATTAGAATCTTTGTGTTTGAAGTCTGGTGCCTTCTGATTTCTCTGTATGAAGCATGATACTTGTTATCAAGATCAATGTATATATATATATAGGGAAGTATCCCTTCACCTCTGTTGTTGGTGTGTGTGTGTGTGTGTGTGTGTGTGCAGGAGAGAGAGAGGAGTAAATCAGTAGCTATACCTTATCCACTCTGTTATCCCACCATTTATTAGGATTTTCGACCAAATGTTTCCAAGAATCACCGTCTACATTGCATCCAACAAACATGTTAGCAGATTTGTGAGCATAACATGATCATAATTAAAAATAAAAATAAAAATAAAAAGTCGGAAATATTAAGGAAAGGCAGAATGTGGTCCGAGTCTGACAAGGAAAATCATCAAATGGCAAAATCAATACTCCAGGATGCAGACACCATGAAGACTATAATTGGCAAATTGACAATAAGTAATTATAGTGCCCTTACACCGAGTATAGAAGTCATAAATTAACAGCTGCACATGGTACAATGAAGCACGTATAAAAAGAACAATATATTAAGAACAAAATTTTGATTAACAATTGTATATGCAGCTAATGTGTCTACTACACTTTGCAAGTATAAAAACCAATATCAAGATAACTGTTTATCTAACCCGTCAATTAATATATGACTGTTATTAACTAAACGTAAACAATGGTCAACCTTGTGAAATAAGGTGTGTTAATTGGCCAGTATGAACATATCTATCTCCATTTAAAAACATCATGCAAGACATTGACACTATTACAAAACATTCTACAGGTACAACCAAACACTAGTCAAAACGAGAACTCCAATATAAGCAATCATAACCGACACTGCAAATCTAACAGCAATCATGAACATATCAATCTTACTTTTTAAGGGTCATTGGCAGGGTTCAAACATCATCAAAGATGAGGAGTGTGTGTGAGTATTTGCCATATAGAAATATTATATACTTAAAACTAAGTTGATAAAGTACCCACCCTTTTCGCCCTTACTAGAAAACTTTAACTGGCCAAGCCCTTGTAACACCTCCGCTGGTGCATTGTTAAGCCACAGCCCGACACCAGTGTCTTTGTGTTTGAAGTCTGGGTATTTGGCTTTCACCTGCAGTACTTAGGATAATAAGCATAACTTTTACTAATGGCTGCATATCATATATAGAGGTGGATTGTTAAGAGGTACTGACCAAGCCCTTGAGCTTGCTTTCACGATTATCCAGCCACTGTTCCGAATTAATTAGAAGATCCCTCCAAAAAGCTGGCAAAAGGAAATGAAATTGTCACCCTTGGTATCATAACCAGTATCCACATTGTTGTAAAGCAGATAAATGTAAACATACATAGAGAATACATCACATACCCTGGATGCTTTGTCTATCAGCTTTACGATCAGAATGCAAACGCCCCACTTCCTTTGAGTTATGGACTGGGGAAGATTCAGCACCGTTAAGTAACTGACCGTGATTTCCTTCAAATGCTACAACCATCTGATAAATATGTCAATAGAAGGTAATGAAAAAACAAATATTATGCAACAAAAACTACTCAACATCAGATTCTGATAAGATAATCTCCAACCTCTGATGATGTGCTTGGCTGTTTAGACATAAGATTGAGTTCCTTACAAGATTGTTGAGCAAAAATATTGTTCTTCGGAATTGCTACGATCATTAAAACAGTACGTCAATATACAACCTAAACAGCAGAAGGAATATAGATAGACCAAGTCAAAACAGCCTAACAAACCAAATAGAAGCTGTCCTAATAGTTTGGCTGCATAAGAAATACCAATAAATGAACATTGTATGTAATGAAATTCAAATAAACAGCTCAATACTGTAAGATATAAAGAGTTCCCTATATATCTCAACTTGTCCTAATTTAATGGTAATAATAAACAGACACTTTGACATATTGAAATGCAGCATTCAGATTACGCCAAGAACAGCATCGAAAAACACAGTCCAAGATGCAGAACTGTGTGAATACTCAATTTTTTTGGCATGAGCGAGAACTCCACAGAGTTATAAAACATGATCCTATAATTGCTTGACATATATGTTAAATGCCAAGCAGATAGCAAAATAAGATAATGGAACAACAAGGCCCCTCACTGATCATACAGCATGTTGACTACCCATCTTCTAAATTTCATGACTGAAGCATTCATTAAGAAAGAAGAAACATATTGCTTAAGCCAGTTCACTTTTCCCCTTTTTATAGATTTGAAGAATCCCCTTTCATTTTTAATAACTGCTCTTCTAACCTTTGCTATATTAGAAAATGATAAAAAATTAACTCCTTTATCTCAATCTAATTGAGGAAAGCTGAATGATGAGAAATTGATCAAGAGAAACACCACCAGCTTTAGACCATGTATGTATCCTCCGAAGCTCTCCTATCTAAAGCCAGGTCCATGCTAAATTCTAATAATCAGAATCTCTCTCGACTCCTATGTTAATCTCGGCCTACCATTCGTCTCCTAAACCCATTCTTCAGTCAAATCTCCCTTTCCCACCAAAGGTCTATGTTGGAAATGATCAAATTTATATCAAGTGGTGTTGAATTCCGGATTACGAAGACTTCACTCACATATGATCCTTGATTACCTTAAATAATCCATTGTACTCACTCTTGAACTGTGATTCTGTGAACTCGAAATTCTTCCACCTTTTGTTGAACCCCTACTTCTTTAGCGGTGCAATGAGGTGTGCATGGAGTGTGGCATTGACCATATCCCCCAAACTGTTAACCAAAAACTTGGGGATACAAGAGGACCGTTCCTATGTTTTTCCAAGTAGAGATGAAAATTTAAAAAATTTAAATCGAAAATTCACACTAAAATCTCAAGTAAAACTTAAATGTTCTGTCTGCAAGAAAGAGAGGATGAGAGACAACACCAACGAAATCTTTTTCTTCGATAGTTTAGACTAATATGGCTGCATCAACTAAAAGCAAAATAAAAATACGACTTAAGCTAAAGTATATGTTTATTTCATAATTTTATTGTATGAATTCTGCTATGATTCTTTTCTCTTATTGATTTGGTTTTAGACTTGTACACACTGCATATGTATAAATCCACCCTCTTATCCTCTAATTTTAGAGTTTCTAAAACCTGGATCCACTTATCACAATTATATCCCCGCAAACATGGTTGTTGAAATACTTGATATATGCGATAAGGATTTATTTGTACTTCATGAAAGGTCTTCTATCTTGGGCCTGGACCAACACATATGAATAAAAATCTAGAATCCTACATGCATAGGAAGGAGTCATTCATTTTGAGCACACAAGAGGACTTGACACGAGCAAAGTGCAATAACAAGCCAGCAAAGATAAGGGGAATAAACTGGACAAGGAACCAGAAAGGCCTTATGCCAGTACAAGGAACAAACGAAGAAGGTGAGACCATGTATTATTATTCCTTGCCTCGTAATTGTTTTGTGTGATGAAACACATTGGTTCAAAGTACTTGCTGATCAAACTCTATTTGGATAACATATCCTACAAGAACATAAACAACAAGCCTAGAAATATTGATCAATAGAGGACACATGCAATGAACCAAACAAGAAGACAGGTAATTATGAATTAAAAATAGATGAGGTGGAGAAGTACAAAACCGAACGTTAAAAGTCTAACTGTTTGCAGAATCAGGAGTGTGGATATTTTATGTTTTTGTAAGACTCTAAAATGTCCAAGTATTTGAAGTTTTCTCCGTTTTTTAGCGTGGACGTATTGGGAGCCTTGAACAAGAACTTAAAATGAAAAAAATAAGCCAAACCCTTTAAGAAAACAAGCCAAGCCATATTTCATCAATACCCGTGCCGTGCCCAAATAATCACTTAGCTAGTGCCATACCTGTTCTAGGAAATACCATGGTGAATTTGCTTCCAGGAGGTTTCTCCATGGACAATGCACCTTAACTCATTATTGAGGTGAATATTGCACCCTAACTCAAGTACGGTGCTTAATGGCTACGTTTAAAATTTTTTACTTTATTTGAAGCATGTTAATAAATCAGCAGCAAAGCCAATAAGAATGATCAAGGAAATCCAAGGTCTAGGCATATAATTAGTGGGGGCTCCACCATGTTTACAGAGTATTACATATATGTAACTACTTATTCTCACTTGGTGACTAGTTCATTCATTCAGGATAGATATTAATTGACGCACATTCAAAAAAACTGAACTGCATTATTTACAAAAAAAAACTGCTTGTATGCTCTGTATCATCAAATTTTACTATGGTAAACACTAATTCTGAGCTTCTCAAAAGTAAGACGCAAGGATGGCCAAAGTCCATCAAAAAAAAATTCTTTTTCTTTTTTTCTGGGGAGGGGGTTAGCAGAGTATTGAATATGTTATATCATCATGATCCCATCTAGTGAAGTGTTCTTTATCTCCCTTAGCACTCCAAATGAGACGAAACATATCAGAAACACTGCAAATATGTATGGAAAAGATTTGATGATTCTTAAAATTATTTACAAATATAGCATGGAAAGTAAAAAGGGCGAAGCTTCAAAGGTCCTCATTTTTCTAGGAATATAAAAGGGGTTGAATGAGAACGTTATGTTCACAGTTTACCTGAATTCTTAGTAGTCCACTTATCCAGCTTGCCTGGTGTAGATATTTCCTTTGATTGAGAAACTTGAACAAAATTTATGCTATGAACCATAACCTGTATACTCCAACCAAGGTTTTAAAGTTAATTTCAATTATATACACTTAGAATGAGACACAAAGAGAAGGAACAGAAAAAGAGAGAAGTAACAGATAAGATGGTTCTGCGCTGGAGTATGAACGCACAAAAATTTCAAAATAATCTTTCTTTTGTGGTGCTTGTACAAGAGTACATGCACTTTTATGCAGTCAGTTCTTGCTACCCCACTGTACCTGGACATTGGCTTGAACTTCACTTAATTTAAACGGTGGGACATCCACAGTTAAATGGCCAGCAACATGCACATAATCCTTTTCCTTCAAATGGCACATTGCAATATGTGCCAGGTCACCTTCAAAAATTACTGGAATCCTGCATCGCATAAGAAACAAGCAACAAAGAATTAACAAAGACAGAAAATTGTCTACAAATGTTGAAGATAAACCAAGTACTATACCACAGAGGAAGTGTTATGTATAATCACTAATTCACGATATCCATTAAAAGTTGTGCATACAACGCACATGAAGTTGCTACCGTGTAAAACACCCCCTCTACTTTGATGTGAAACTCAGAGCTCTCAGTGAACCTATTAAGGCTTTTTATCTTAAGGATCAACAAAACATGTTTCACTTTTTTCACCTTCATGATGCCTACTGGGAAAGTCTGTTGGGACATTGCACACAACAGGATATCCTTACACAAAGAAGGCTGGAACCGCAGGCACTAGTTAACGACCCAAAGGATACCCTGAACACTGAGACCATGTCTAACAGACTATTCCTACACCCAAATATGTTCCCAGAAATTGTTTTCAAAAAACCTGGAGCCTGAGTTTGCCACGTAAATAGCTATAATACAAGAGAGAAGGTGGTATGTTGAATCTAAGAACGTATTGTGCTTTCTACGCAGCCCCAGTCATTCTTACTGACTTAGCTAATTCAATGATTTCCCTTAGGCCCCCTCTCCCTCTACTATCAATGTTTCTCTATCTATTTGCTCTCAGATACGTCCCTTTGTTGTCTATTACCACTCAAACACCTGAGGCAGATCCATGCGTCAAATGATCCATGGCTTTATTGGTCAAGGAAGCTCAACCATGGGACATGATTTGGCTTCACCTCGGCACAACCATAACATCTAACTAGTTGATATACCTGCCTTGAATTCTCCAGAAAATGCTTACAATTTGAGATGCATGGAAAATACAGTCAAAACCCCATTTTTTGGGGGGGAGTCTTAAGCAGTTTCACTCTGGCATCCTACCAAGTAGAATTGCTTTGATGGTTATTTTACCTGCATACAATGCTATAGGGGTTAATAAAACTAATTAGATTAATAAATCCCCAAGTTACATGTATGCATGCATGCATGCTATGAAACTTTGCAAGGGACCTCTATCAAAGGAAAACAAGGAACCACCGAGTATTTGTGAACTAAAATATCGCCAACGATATGAATGACCTGAAGCAAACAGAGCTCAAGACCTTCTGCGAGGAGCACAAGACAGGATGCAAAAGTCAGGGGCCGTTTACCTAATCACTTACCCGGTAAGCGCTTAATGGTAAAATTCAACTCTATATCTTATTTATCGGGCAATATTTTAGTCTACCAAAACGATATCGTATGTGACAATTTACCCGGTAAGCGCTGACCGTGGTAAGAGTCGTCGTCATCACTTACCGGGTAAGACTCTCGGTTCGTGCCTTCGCTCTTACCAGATAAGATTATTGATCTTTGTCATATTCATCCGGTAAGAGAATGTGACTTGATAAGCGATTACCCGAATAAGCATTTGGTAAACAGCCCCTCAGCATAGTTACCACAGGAGAAAAACTATGATGCTCTACTGAAGGTTGCATGTTTGCCATTGCAGTTTATAACTTGACATGCCTTGGGGAAAAGGGTAAAGGTAACATTGCAGAGTTATCATGTATTCCAATCAAGCTAATTCAGGTCCCGAAACATCTAAACTTGTAAACGTACTCCAAACATGACAGTATGACAGCTTATTAAAGAGCATCAAAAGACGAGCAATTTAATCAAAAGTCTGGTTAGGATATTGAACTGCATGCAAATTGCAATCCACCAATAACATCCCGTAAAAGTTTGTAGTTGTACCAGTTGAAGAAAGCAATACATGTCTGTCAACTCCCTTTTCTTCATCCTTAACTCGACCACTAATCCCCCACCCCATTCCCTTTTCCCAAGTTCAAGCAAGGAGGAAGATTCGGAAATGGGTTCATAAACAATAATTCTTCCTCTTAAAAATTGCTAAATGTAGTTTGCTAAAGATACAAAATAAGGAAGAGCATAACAGCATTGAAAGAAGAGTATAGAAAAGCTAATGAGCCAAAAAGAAAACATAAACAAAAAAGAATACAACTATGTCCTTAACAACGTCGGTTAAACTAAAAATCAATTGCCATCCACCTTAAAGCCTTATTTAGTTAGCACTATGTCACTATCTTTCAATAATAAATTGGTGTTGGACTTATGCTTATTTGAAAGAGCTCACATATTATTGGACTTAACAAATGCTTTTTAACTAGTCTCTATAGGGAGGCTAATTTCAAGTGAGAATAATAGAATATATGTTGTATAGCATGCCAATACTAATATAAGTTACAAATATCCAATTATGTAAGGTTAAGATACAATAATCAATAATTTGCTCACATGTATCCACTCTATGAGACTCTTTCCAGATCTTGCATTCTAGCTCGTGGTAACTGTTAAGGTAGGATACTCAAAGACATATGGATTGGATAAGGTCTAGATCCAAAATAATCAAGCTAAAAGCCCTAAACTTAGGATGGACGAGATAAGCCAACAATGAACCATAATGCTAAAGACATACATGCCCAAAAAGGTTATGGACCCAAAAGATATATCAAATATCGATGTAGGCCAAACGACCTATGCATTAAAAGTAAAAAACAGGAATAAAGGTGTAAGTGTGTAACAACTCATGTGATCGCTAACAAGCTCCTAAAAGCGGGTCTCTAGGATTTAGAGAGATCTGCGTAATCAAGTCAATCAATAAATAGGAAGTAAACGTAACTAATAAGAAACTTTTAGTACTTTACTTCGCTTAAACACTTCCACACTCTCTCTCTCTCTCTCTCAGAACCAAGCTTTACCTACTTCAATCGGTGTTAACTCTTGTTATGAAAATTGGACATAAAAAGAATAACCCAAACTTTTCACAATCGTTGTGCTTTAAGCCTAAGAATCTGTCAGGAGGTATATATTTAGAATTTTACTGAATCTCTTAAACACAAAGTTTGAAGGTTGTAACCATTTCTTAACAACAATTGTTGCTTATAAGAAATTTCACTTTTTCATGTTCCAATAATGTCCCTATGGTGAAAGAAAAAGAACTTCACCCAAGTTTTCTTTCTCTTTCACTCTTCCTCATGATTTCTCCTTTCTAGAATACAAAGTAAAAAAAAGAGGAAGACTTTGGTTTTTAGTTTGAAACCCAGGTATTTTTCAAATGTAAGAACTGGTGTAAGTTCATTACAGACTAAACAGCTACTTCATTCGATCTGTAATAATCTTTATAAAGTTTGCGGCGCTTAACAATGTTAGCTCGAAAAGGCTTTAGATGAATGCTATTTACTTTTCCAACCATCATATTAGTTTTTTGTTGCAATAAAACACCACACTCCGTATAAATAAGAGATTTTGGATGAATTATAAAGATTCAAATGCAAAAAGAACATATTATCAATCTATCGGACACTTTTTGTCCAAAATAACTCAAGTTTTTGGTTGCTTTCCTCGATAACAACCATCCAAGGTGAAACATAAGGGTTCAAAATCCAAGTCACAAGAGTAAAAAAGCAATTCCATTCACATCCAAGTCCAATTAGCTACTTACTTAGAACTGATGAGTAACTATAAGATGAATGAAAAATATCACAACCATAACATGGATGGGATACCACCAACAGTACCCAGTGATAATACAGTTAACTGCTGAACACATTAGTAATAACGATGTGCAATTAAAAGCAATACGCGAAAGAAAATCAGATGCGGGGGTAGTACCAGAAAGACGGTAGAGAAGGGGAAGTTTCAGAAGCATCGTCTAGAGAAATGATGGTGCCGGCCCAATTTTTACCATCAGAAGAAGCTTCAAACTGAACTGGAATCTTAACTTTCCCAATCAAACTCACCGAATTAACGACCTTCGTTTGCCATGGAATCTCACTAGGTTTTGGCCAAGTCACTGGTTCCTTCTGAACGTCATTCGAAGATGAGCTAGTTGTCGAAGGTAATGATGCTGGTGCCGGTGCCGGTGCCGGTGCCGGTGCCGGTTGTGATCTTACTTCAGACGCTCTGGTTTTGGAGGACTTGAGAGTTCGGAACGTATTTCTGGTAGTACTAGAGGAAGAAGCGTGTTGCTTTTGAAGGATAGACGTGGGAGAGAGTGTGAGCAGGCGTTTTCGTTCGGCAATGATTGCTCGACGTATGGCGTTCATAACGGCGGCGGCGACACCAGCCACGGCGGAGGAAGCGACAAGTGAGGAAGACGGGGAGGAGTATTGAAAGAAGTCAAAACCAAATGGACATTTGGGGCCTGCCAGTGCCTTGTTCAAGCGAAGAGAATATCTAAACGGTCCAAAAACAAAATAACGTATACCATCTGATAAAATATCTAATGGACGAGTACCGGAGTTCTCGTGAGAATTATATAAAGTTAGGGGCTGTATGGCAGTTGCTGAATGGTTTTGTACAGAATTGTTAAGTGGTCAGAATGGTTAAGTGCTGAATGAAATATGGTTGTTTGGTAAATGTTCACTGAATGACAACAAATTACCATTTTAACCCTCTTCTCATTGCCTCTACTCTTTCCAAATATCAGGCACAACTCATCATAATAAGGATACCAAAATCGATTCAACAGATACCAAAATGATACCAAAATGGCTTGATTCAACAGATACCAAAATGATACCAAAATGGCTTGATTCAACAGATACCAAAATGATTAGCTCATAACTTGAATCCACCAACGATCAAATCGATTACCTCATTCAAACAGCCCTAAGTTCATTCAAACAGCCCTAAGGAGACAGAAGAGAAATTACCTCATTCAAACAGCCCTAAGGAGACAGAAGGGAAATACCTTTTTGAAATCGAGTGGGAGACGATGTAGAAGACAACAGAGTCGATGGAGAAGACGCTGGAGAACACGATCGAGTGGGATGAGGAACGAGGATCTTGCGTGGGAGGAGAGACCGGCGGGAAGCAGTAGGGGCGGCGACGATCGTGGGGGGGGGGAGACGGCCGGCGACTGGAATCGACGATGGGAGGGGGAAGCCGGCGACTGGAATCGACGATGGGAGGGGGGAAGCCGGCGAATGGAGGGGGATGCGATGTTTGGAATCGACGATGAGAGGGCAGAGTTGAAAAAATAAACATCTGAATGGTTGAGTGAAGGTCTAGGTGCAAAATGGTTAAGAGGTTAATGTAACCATTAAGAGGTGGGTTTTTTTTTTGCCAAACAGTCTTGACCTCTTACCGATCAAGAGGTTGGCTCTTAATGTAACCATTAAGAGCCAAACAAACAGCCCCTTACTTGTGTTTTATAATGAAATTGATCTGGTATATTTCATTAGTTTTAATCTAGTATTTTTTTATTATAAAGAATATAAAGGATTTTAATATACAAGGAAATAATCACACAGATACCTGATTTTTTACTGTCACTTGGTAAGTGACCTTGACTTTGATATTTCAACTCGTCGACTAAGTGTTTCAACCGAATTGTCAAGGCATCAAAAGAGGATGTAAAATCTCCCAAAAATGTTATAAGACTTTCAATTAAGCTTGGGGAAGTAGTTTCAAAAGAGTTAGATGGCTCAGATTGTTTTAAAAAAATTATCGGGTGGGTAGTTGGTAACAAAGGATGGGAATCCATAGTACTGATTCATCCCTCGAAAATCACATGAATAATCAACATGCCTCCCATGATTGGTCAATTGTGTTAAAATACGTGTCATTCCAATCTTGGTAGGAAAGTGCAAATGAAGTGTAAGTGTCGTCATCTTGAATATTTGCACAAAAATTAGGAGGTTCCCATGGATAATTGAAAGTATTGTGATAAGGGGCATCCCAACTAAAACCTTCCATTGGGGTGAAAGAGTGTTGTAGCCGTGGCATACAACATGGAAGGGTGTTAAAGAAAACTCGCAACATGGGCTCGAGTAAAAATCAATATCTTAAGATTAAAATCGCGCCAATTCCCGGCAAGGGCGCCAAAAACTTGATAGCAAAAATAACACACGTAAACTGTGACACAATAGTGGTGCAAGTGCATACCGCTATTGAGTTCGTTTTTTTTCAAGTAATACAATGATAGGTACCAAATATCGTTTTCTACATGGACTAGTCTATTAAGAATCATAGATTTTTACGAACTTCTGGTGCAAAGTTTAGAGTTTATAAAAATGATTTGTTGTTGGCAGAATATTGATGTCTTAAAAATAGTAGTTAATGAAAAATGGGTATGGGTGTAAGTTTTCCCCCGAGAATATATTAGTAACTCAAATGGTTGATGAAACCAGTCACAAAATAATCTCATACAATTTCCTCCTCTCGAAGCTACGTTGTATGGGTTGTGATTACGTTTTATCATAAAGTTTTCACAAATGCTAACTTTCGGTTTGCCAACAGTATTAAGTAGATCTTGAAGATCTTAGGTCCGCCAGTATGAAGATCTTAGCTTGTTTGTGTTGAATTAAAGCTCCAACTCAAATATTCAAACTGAAGAGTTAGCAAAATTGGAAACACCCAAATGTTACATTTTAAACTTTCGGGATTGGCTTACACCCACATCCAAAAGGGGGATTTAGCTACTGCTCGTAAGTAAAAACATAATATAAGAACATAATACTCGAACATAAATTGCATTAAGCGTAAACTTGCCACTGTGGTCAAAACCCACGATGATGAACAAGAAATTAGACTAGTTAAAGAGCGAATACAATAACTAAATACTATCCGATGATTCTTGATGTGTATAATGCCTCGAATGAATTGCCACAAGCCTTCTTTATATAGGCGAGGAGAGAGAGAGAGAGAGAGAGAGAGAGAGAGAGAGAGTGATGTAGCATTGGTGTCTTCTTCTCCATGTTTCTCTTATCCCTATTGTCCTCTTTCTTTTCACTTTCATGATATCTTCAGCCCTTGACTCAACCGCTTGCCATATTGGTGACTCGCCACTATGACTTACAGCTCAAAATCTGACTTTTAGGCTATTTATAGACACATACAATAGTTAAAACCAAACTTATATACTCAACAACTTCAAATAAATAAATAAAGGAAAACACAAACACATAAAAGGAAAAACACACACTAAAAGGGAATAAAAATAGACATTAACGAAGTGTAAATAACACTCAAAATGAGAGTTATCAATACATCTAGAAAAACTTCACAAGATAATTCATTTACATAATATTTACCATTAATTGATTTTGTTTGTTAAAGGTTAGTTGTATAGCGAACATGATGTTAGACTGTTAGAGTGACTAACGTTGATTATGTAAAACATCTCCTGAAATATAAGTTGCGCGTTGAACATGATAGAAATACCAATGACGACACTATAAAAGACAGGTTTGCGGGAAAAAAAAATACAAATAAAACAAATTATTTTAACTTGTGACGATGTCTAGATACCGAAAAGACATTTCTTAAATATTGATAGATGTAGTTATAGCGAATTTTGGTTAACATAAAATAAAAATATACATTTATATATAAGATTGTCCAAGCAACACAAAAACACATACATATTAACAAATGTATGATGATAAGATAATTATGAAATATTTTTTTTATTATTTATTAAATAAAAATCAATGCACTTTTTTAGGGAAATCACATACTTATCTCTTCTCTCTTTTTTTATCTCTCATATCACCGTATTAATATACATATCGTATACGTAAGTTTAACACACTGTGAACACAAGGTTAACAATCTTAATAATTCTTTGTCGTAAGGCGTTCATAAGGTTCACGTTCTGTTCATAAGTGATATGTTTAAGTTTAACTTTATTGATTTAGTTTATATTCACAAGTTCTAACTATCTTTGTATATTTAGAGTATATTCACAATGTGTTCATAAACTATAATAGTATTTATAAAAAAAGTGTTCACAATGTATTCACCTTTCATATTCCATTATGTGTGTACGTTTGTCATATGAAGAAGATAGAGAAGATAAAAGATAGGAGAGGAATATAGCACAGATGAGAGAAAAAATAGATAGAGGACAAAGAAAGAGAAGTTTTTACTTTTTTCCCAACTAACTTTTGTGGTTTAAAATGGAAGTTACTGATCTCACAAATTAACAACTTCTTAAAAGAAGGTTACCTCTGTGTGTGTGTGTGTGTGTATAGACTTGAGATCATGTAAGACCAAGGGTTTTTCGTGATACCCGTAAGACCAATTCTCAACCCTTGGATTAGATCTACAATCTGAACATTCATAATTACGATTCACAAAATTGTCATGAGATTTCTCAATAATCACAAAATTATTATCGTGCAACTTTAGACCATTAAATTATTTGTTTATAAAGTTGATCAATGAACATAAATTAGTCTTACGGGTCTCACGAAAAATAGACCATTTGAATTTGATTGTTAGTTAAAGATCCCCACCAAATTTTTATGGTAAATGAAGAGTTATTAAATTCAATTTGTACTCGGTTCCGAATTCTATTTATCAATTTAGTTTCTTATGAAAATAGTGAAAGAAAAAAAGAAATAGGAATGGGTTTGACCCAGAAAGTCAAAGCGGTTGGTATGCAAGTGCACACGTGGCAGAAGGAAGCATCATGACCAACCTCATGTAACGAAAAAACTTCTACCAACCAAATAATTAAATCCGATGGAGTTCCGTTGGTCAAACATGTAAACTAAAGTCAACCAATCAAATTCAATGTATGTATCGGTGATGTGATTCTAGTAGTAGATTCCAAGAAAAGGGTCGACCCCTCCATATCTTGTGGGTATGGCAACTGAGATTCATGTGTATTTATATAATGTTGTTTCATATATAAAGTGTTCAGAATTGTTTTGTGGGTAGAAAAAACAGTACTGAATATTTTACATATAAAACAACACTATATAAACATTGCATTTTCATACATAAAAATTGATTTGTAAGTTTTTACAAATTAATGGGTTTGTAAAAAAGATTAACAGAACATAACCCTGTTTCAATCTCATAGTAGTTGTTTTGTTGATTATTTAAGAGTTATTCATTTCAATCTTGTAATCTTATTGTTTGTCACTCTATAAATTTAGAACGTTTTTGTTTGTAAAGTACTGAAGTATTTCGTGAAGTAATAACCTTCTTGCTAGAGATGCACAAACTTGGTTAATACCGGTCCTAACTAATCAACTAAACATTTGAAGTCTTTATGGCCGTTATCAATCCTAAGACCAATCATCATCCTTAAATCGTTTGCAAGTACTAATTGACTGGTCTTTGACCCATCCTAACCAGACCATTTTCGATCCTTGATCAGACTTGGTACTC